AAAGTTTCTAGCGAAGATGCAAGTCAGATCGACGGTGCTATTCACAAGATGGTATACGCGGTTTGTGAAGAACAGTACAAGACTGCACACGAGTCTTTGAAAGGACTCTGTCAGCGCATTGGTCTGGTTGGATTTTTTTATTATTTTCAGAAAAATTGGGATTCCTGTCAAGATGGATGGGTTTACTATCTACGATCGATACTGCCTCACTTCAAGAATCACACTAACAATCGACTGGAGAATTTCTTTGGAAAACTGAAGGACGCGGTCGATGGAAGTATGAGTATGGCAGGCTGTGTAAAGGCTCTGATTGCTTATGATCGCCGGGTTGAAAACGAGTACAAGTTTAGATTGTCCCAAATTGGACAGTTTGTTAATAGCAATTACGACGAGGAGATGAGCAACGTGCTACGATTTACAACTCACTTTGTGGCGCAACAAATTGAACACCAGTACGCCACCGCGTTGTCAAAGGCGGCAGTGTACAGCTTCACTGTTGATCCCGACGATGCTGATCACGTGGTCGCTGGAGGAGTTTTCTCGGAGCACAATCTGCGGATTGATGATTGGAGATGTGACTGCGATTTCTCCATGTCGATGTGCTTCCGTGTTGCCATGCCATCGCATACCGCAAGCACACGAATGTTATCGGTCCAGTTATCCCCTGGAGTCGTATCGATGAAAGGTAAAATAGTGATGATTCATGATTTCCCATGATTTTTTTTGGGGAATTCAGGATTTTTTCATGATTTTGATAGTTTTACTCATCTTTTGTACTTATACTAATACTGCATATTTGCATTATGTTCTCATGGTTTGTGGACGAATGTCTAGGTGGACCTGTTCGTCGCGCCATTTGAATAAGGTTATCCAGTTCAGTTATGAGAGTTTACTAATGCAGAACGTGGATCGACAAAAAAAAACTGAGGACGCACTCAGAACGATATCGCGAAGCGGTGAAGGCCACTCACCTTATCGCTAATGAAATGGCGGATATAGAGAACGAAGTGGAGTTTGAGGAATTGCTTCGGTTCGTTTTAGATCAGTGGAGGAACGTGCGCCAGCGGAAAAGTATACCGATGAGTAATTCGGAAGGTGGGGATGAATGGCAAGGCGATGAACAGTGCGGTGATGGAGACGAAGAGAATGCAGATAAACAGATCCTGTACGTAATTTCACAGAAGATGCCATCCAGGCAGAGTTCAACATTAGTTTGAGCGAAGGTGAAGAAGCATACGAATCGAGTGGGAAGGTGAAGATTCGGCTCAATCCCAAGGCCAAAAAGGTGGGTCGACCTCAAAAACAGAAGAAATCGACCAGCGCCGGCGAAAAAAAAGGTCGAAAGTGGTATGAGGCCTCGGAAGCAGGGCGGAAGGTCGCAGGAGAGGTAACTTTGAGCGCTTTAATTAGCTCTCTGGACCGTGAGCAACCGGGGTTGATGGAGACACGAATGCGTTTGTCTGGGGTTGACTTATGAAACACGGCGAGGCCGAAAACAAAAAGCCTAAGTTTAAAATCCTGACAAATCCGGTTCTCATCCAGGACCCATTCTACATTCACCCGGAGAAGCTATTGGATGCTTGTATGAAGCTCCTTCCGGTGTCGAACACAGCAAACCATGCCATATCCATAGATGATTCTCAAAATAGCCAAGACACCGGAGCTATTCAACTTCAAGGATCCATTGAGACGATTTGGATAAAAGATGTGGGCAATTTTTCGCGAGCTCAAATTGAAACCTTCAAGAGAGTGCATAATCTTCTGCAATTGGTGAAACTTGGACTGGATACGCATAAGTGGCTCGTACAAGAAGGATGTCCTTCACTACCGGCTGAGTACCACGCAATTGCGACCTCAGTTGCCGACGAAATCCTGTCCACCTACCCAAAGAAGAGAATCGAGGGCCTTCCGAACCTATCTGATTTCCAGTATGCGCTGCTCTACAGAGCTTCCCCTCCAACATGGCTAACAGATGCCTCGATAAGGGCTTTGTGCATTCGGCTCTGCGAGGATTATTCTTCGTGCAGATTTGCAGGCTTTCAGTCAGCAGTAGCAAGAT